CTCCTTATGCTAAGCTAAGCTAAGCGGCTCCAGCATCATATTGCAGACATGTAAGTTAACTCTGAACACAAACGTACATATTTCCCCCAAAAAAAGGTCAAAGCGTTTCTTTTAACAATCATCTGTTTTCCACCGGGACCGTTTGGTTTGTAGACAGAATTTCAAAATCCACACATCGTTAATGAAGCCGGCAAACGTTAAAAAAAATTATTTTAAAAAAAAGCAAATACTTCAAACCCAAGCAAAGAGCATCATTACCTGCGTGGCTCAAACAAGCTAATTGTTTTGGGGATAAACGAATCCCTGCTTCTTTAACTCTTGTTTCTTAACGATCCCAGGAGTGACGGGAACATTTTGTGTAATTAAAATTGCATTCGTACGCCGGGTGTTTGTCACATCAAAGGTTCCCCGCAGGAGGATCTTCGCTTCCCTCCTGCTCGTCGGCGCTTCAGACGACAGCTAGGATCCAACACGTGAAAGAAAAACGCTTGATGCTTCTTTTTAAAAGATGTATTTAAACGTACAGGTGGTTTTTGGGTTTCAACTCAGCTCGCGTCCCTTTGTGTGGATGGTTGGAGGGTGTAGCAGTGAAATCAGGGAGGAGAAGGTTGATCTTTATTGGCTTGAAGCCTCGGTGAAGCCTGGTAGACCTCCTCCTCGTCCTCCTCCAGTCCAGTAACCTTCATCTCGTATCTGCCTCCTGTGCGGTCGACATGCGGCACACATCCACCGGGCTGCGTGACAAACACTTCTGTAGTGCAGCTCTCCACCAGATTAAGTTTAATTCCAAAATGAGATATCCACCATTTAAAAAAAAAAAAACTACCTCTGCAAAACGATTGCTTTGCCGGAAGCAAAATAAAAAAAACCCTCACTGTGGATTATCGGTGCTTGTATTAAATTCAAGCCGGTCTGTTGCATAATCGCTGCCTGTTAACATTTTTTATATCTAATGAGTGGAGAACATTTTTCCCCCCGGAGGGATTTTTTTCCCTCTCTGCTCTGTCTGGGGTGAAACTTTCACCTGCAGTTTCGGTGCAACAGGTTGCACAAGGTTGGCCATAAATCAGAAAACAGACGATGGAGCTGATTTATAGGGTTTTTTACTCGAGGAGAAAGAATCGGAGGAATAAAAACCGCTGAGGGATTTCTGCTGCTGACTCTTCATCAATGAGAAAAACAACCAAAAATGTTGTGTTTGTTGGAATCTGTGAAATTCTTATCAGCATCTTTCTGTGAAGATTTCAAGAAATGTCGTCTGTAAGAAACTTTCCAACAATGTTTGAGCTGCTCAGCCGTGCAAAACTTTTCAAAATCTAAGCTTAAAAGTCGTGGTATTTTAACCAAATCTTTTTATTCTACATTTAAAAAGTCGACGAAAACAAACCATCTGCACTAAAATGATTCTGTATAAAGCTAAAAATTCTGCACTTCCATGTGCAGCTGTGATGGCATTTCTGGCATTTCTAGAAAGTGATGGAAAGATTTATTAAATATTTATAAAACTGCAAGTTATTCAGTGTGCAATGTTACATAGCGGTGCATCAAATTAAGCCTCTGAACTGCCAAAGCAAGACGACAGGTTTTTCTTTTAAAATATTGTAAAAGTTAAACCTTTTATCAGAGGAAGAAACTATAAAAACAGAAAGAATTTGTTGAATTTTTAGCTTTCCAACAGTCCCTGAAGTAATCACGTATGATGTGCAGTTCAATTGGGAAACGTAACTAAATCTAAACTTACAACCAAGGCATTTTTTTCATATTTTCATATGTATTTGTTTTTATTTTATATTTTTGTATTTACATTATTTTTATCTTAATATATTTTTTGGAATTTTTTTGTTTAATTGCCAAAATTGCGCCGAACAGATTCTATTAAAAACTAAAATGTAATTAAAAATGTAATTAATAAAATATCTATAGGATGGAGCACCACCATCTTTTTTTCCCAGTGTTGCTAACACTTGTGGGCAGTTGGAAAAATGCTGAAAATATTAATTCAATTTTTACAATTCTTTTTGGTAAAATAAATAATCCAAGAAATGCAACTTTCGTTTTTCTTTTTAATAAATTAAAATGTTTTATTTG